AACCCCTGAAGGTATGGGACTCAGAATTCTTGTTGAGGTATGTGGACTTTTCCTGGAAGGGAAATGTTCAAAACGTCCTCTCAGCCCCAGGCACAGTGGCTCACACTGTGGATCACAAAAGGACTTTTAAGGACTCACAGGATTACAAAGTCCTATAATCCCAGCACTTTGGTAGGCTGAAGTGGGCAGGTCACCTGAGATCAGGAGTTCAAGACCAGCCTGGCCAACATGGTGAAATCCTGTCTCTACTAAAATTACAAAAATTAGCCGGGCACAGTGGCACATGCCTGAAATTCCAGCTACTCGGGAGGCTGAGGCAGGAGAATCACTTGAACCCGGGAGGTGGAGGTTGCAGTGAGCTAAGATCACACCACTGCACTCCAGCCTGGGCAACAGAGTGAGACTGCCTCTCTCTCTCTCTCTCACACACACACACACACACACACACACACACACACACACACACACAATTCTCTCATTTCCAACTTGCCAACACCTATGATAATGTAAACCAAAAATGAAATTCTAAGCCCCTCAACTGACTGACTGAATCCCCATCTTCACCAAGGGGATCCCAAAGAAAACCTGAAAAGCTAGTTCAGGCCATGATGGGAAGGAAAGTCGGATATGTCTCTTCACCTCTTCATATCATCCTCCCTTTGGAGTTTAGGCACAACTGACCAGCATTCACATTAAATTACAGATCATCATAAGGTAAGCATGGTGGCTCATGCCTGTAATCCCAGCACTTTGGGAGGCTGAGGCGGGCGGATCACTTGAGCTCAGGAGTTTGAGACCAGTCTGGCCAACATGGTGAAACCCCTTCTCTACCAAAAATACAAAAATTAGCCAGGCATGGTGGCAGGCACCTGTAATCTCAGCTACTGCGGAGGCTGAGGCAGGAGAATTGCTTGAACCTGGGAGGTGGAGGTTGCAGTGAACTGAGATCACTCCACTGCAATATACCTTGGGTGACAGAGCGAGACTCTGTCTCAAAACAAAACAAAACTAAAACCCAGATCATCAGACAGACAAAACAGACTCTTTGTGCAATAAGATACCAAATTCCAACCTGACCCTGGTATGGCATCACAGTGACAGATAACAGGCCCTAAAGGAAGTCAAAGTATTTTACCCCAAGATGTATTTATTTGGCATATTTTGGAGTGACCCTGGAAAGCCCACTCTTTGCCTTCTGTAGCGAATCCCCTTCCCGTTCCAGGTCTTTTCCTGATCCAGGAGAGAATTAAACTAGGAGTTTGACACCTTTTAAGGTCCAATAAGAGACATATACCATCTATCCTGTCTGAAGCCGGGTGCTTAGAGGCTTCATCTACATAAACAAGAACCTTGGCTTCCACAACTCTCTTATCTTAACTCAAGCATTTCTTTTCTTATTCTTTCTTTTTTTTTTTTTTTTTGAGTTGGAGTCTCACCCTATCACCTAGGCTGGAGTGCAGGGGTGTGATCTCAGCTAACTGCAACCTCTGCCTCCCAGGCTCAAAGGGTCCTCCCAACTCCACCTCCTGAGAGCTGGGAGCACAGGTGCATACCACCATGCTGAGCTAATTTTTGGTAGAGTCAGGGGTCTCTTCCTGTTGCCCAGTCTGGTCTGGAACTCCTAGGCTCAAGCGATCCACCCGCCTTGGCCTCCCAAAGTGCTAGGATTACAGGCTGAGCCACCGCACCCAGCCTCAAACATTTCTTTATGCTGACTTCAACTCCTCGGGCAATGCTTCACTCTTTCAATCAACTGCCAATCAGGACATCTTCGAATCCACCTATGACCTGGAAGTCCTTCTGCTTCCATCTTTGAGATGTCTTGCCTTTTGAGGCTGAACCAATGTATACATTACATGTATTGCTTTTATGTCTTGTGACTTCTGTCTCTCTAAAATGTATAAAACCAAACTGTAACCTGACCATCTTGTGCACATGTCCTCAGGACCCCCTGAGACTGTGTCACGGGCCATGATCACTCATATTTGGGTCAGAATAAACTTCTTCAAATATTTTATGGAGTTTGACTTTTTTTCATCAAGAATACTTACCTGTCCCTTGCTTCAAACCCTCCCATGGCTCCCCAGTACTTTTTTAGGTTTTTTTTTAAGATGGAGTTTTGCTCTTTTTGTCCAGGCTGTAGTGTAGTGGTGCGATCTCCGCTCACTGCAACCTCCACCTGCTGGGTTCAAGCGATTCTCCTACCTCAGCCTCCTGAGTAGCTGGGATTACAGGCACCCGCCACCATGCCCAGCTAATTTTTGTATTCTTAGTAGAGATGGGGTTTCAATATGTTGGCCAGGCTGGTCTTGAACTCCTGACCTCAGGTGATCCATCCACCTTGGCCTCCCAAAGTGCTGGGATTATAGGCATGAGCCACTGTGCCTGGCCAGTCCCCCAGTACTCTTAAGACAGAGTTTGAACTCCTCACTGATAAAGATCTGCAAGATCTGGCACCTCCTGGTCCCCTGCCATCACCCACGACCCTTCCCACTTCGTACTTGTTCCCCAGCCAGACTGAACTGTTTTTAGTTACCTAATATTATTACTAGAAAGGGGTCCTGATCCAGACCCCACGAAATAATTCTCTCACAAGAAAGAATTCAGGATGAGTCCACAAAGTAAAGCAAAAGCAAGTTTATTAACAAAGTAAAGGAATAAAGACCAGGCGCAGTGGCTCACGCCTGTAATCCCAGTACTTTGGGAGGTCGAGGCAGGGGGATCACCTGAGGTTAGGAGTTCAAGACCAGCCTGGCTAAAATGGCGAAACCCCATCTGTACTAAACATACAAAAAATTAACTGGGCCTGGTGGTGCGCCCCTGTAATCCCAGTTACTCGGGAGGCTGAGGCAGCAGAATTGCCTGAACCCAGGAGGCCAAGGTTGCAATGAGCTGAGATCGCACCACTGCACTCCAGCCTGGGCGACAGAGTGAGACTCCATCTCAAAAAAAAAAAAAAAAAAAAAAGAAAAGAAAAAAGAAAGAGAATAAAAGAATGGCTATTCCGTAGGCAGAGCAGCAGCACGGGCTGCTTGACTGAGTATATTTATGGATACTTTCTGATTATGTGCTAAACAAGGGGTGAATTTTTCATGAGTTTTCCAGGGCAGGGTTGGGGAGCTCCTGAAAGTGAGGGTGTCTCCTCTTTTTAGATCGTATAGGATAGCTTCTGGACATCGTCATGACGCTGGGGAGACTGTCTTTTCACATGTTAGTGTATGATGAGCAGTGAAGACAACCAGAGGTCACTTTTGTTGTCATCTTGGTTTGGATGGCTTTTGACCTGCTTCTTTACTACCTCTTGTTTTGTCAGCAGGGTCTTCATGACCTATGTCTTGTGATACCAATCCTCCTGGCCTCTTATCTCAACCTGTGACTAAGAATGCCTAACCTCCTGGGAATGCAGCCCAGCGGGTCTCATCCACATTTTACCCAGCCCCTATTCCAGACGGAGTCACTCTGGTTCTAACACCTCTGATAATATCCTATATTACCTCCAGACATTTGCATATGCTAATTCCTCTCCCTCTTCCCCCATTTTATGTGGCTATCTCCTCCATCCTCAGGTCCCAGCTCAAATGTTTGCTCCTCCAAGAGGCCTTCCTTGATTTCTTTTCTTTTCTTTCCTTTCCTTTTCTTTTCTCTTTTTTTGAGAAGGAGTCTCACTCTGTCACCCAGGCTGGAGTTCAGTGGTGCGATCTCGGCTCACTGCAACCTCCGTCTCCTGGGTTCAAACAATTCTTCTGCCTCAGCCTCCTGAGTAGCTGAGATTACAGGCGCCCACCACCATGCCCAGATAATTTTTGTATTTTTAGTTGAGACGGGGTTTCACCATGTTTTCCAGGCTGGTTTCAAACTCCTGAGCTCAAGTGATCCACCCGCCTCGGCCTCCCAAAATGCTGGGATTACAGGCATGAGCCACCACCACCTTTCTTGATTTCTAGGCTGGATTCTGTAACCCCTTGGGGCTCCCATTGCACTTTGTGTTTTCCCTGTTGAAACACCATCAAACTGGATTATGGTTGTTTTCAGGACTGCTCTCTGCTCTTTCCTATGCTACCTCTAGCTTTTTTTTTTTTTTTTGAGATGTAGTCTTGCTCTGTCACCTAGGCTGGAGGGCAGTGGCACTATCTCAGCTCATTGCAACCTCCGCCTCCCAGGTTCAAGCAATTCTCCTGCCTCAGCCTCCCAAGTAGCTGGGACTACAGGCGCACACCACCATGCCGGCTAATTTTTGTATTTTTAGGAGAGACGGGGTTTCAACATGTTGGCCAGGCTGGTCTCAAACTCTTGACCTCAGGTGACCCACCTGCCTCAGCCTCCCAAAGTGCTGGGATTACAGGCGTGAGCCAATGCACCTGGCCTCTAGCTCTTTTTCCTAATTGCTGGCCTGCTTTCCAAAAGTTGGCTTAGGCCCATGACCCGGTTCTTGGCTGTAGACTCACAAAGAACTGCTTCCCAGAGACCTCTCCACCACCTCCCTTTCGCAGTTTTACTCCAGCAGCTGGATGTGTTTGGTTTCTCAATCTGACTGGTGACTCTTCTCTGATCCTCTAAACCCTTTTTTGAGACAGAGTCTTGCTCTTTCCCCTGCAAATTCCGGGTCTAGGCATTTTTCTTTCTCTTTTTTCTTTTCTTTTTTTTTTTTTTGAGATGGAGTCTTGCTCTGTTGCCCAGGCTGGAGTACAGTGGTGTGGTCTGACTCACTGCAGTCTCCGCCTCCTGGGTTCAAGTGATTCTCCCGCCTCAGCCTCCCGAGTAGCTGGGATTACAGGCATGCCCCACCATACCCAGCTAATTTTGTATTTTTAGTCCAGACGGGGTTTCTCCATGTTGGTCAGGCTCGTCTCGAACTCCTAACCTCAGGTGATCCTCCCACCTCGGCCTCCCAAAGTGCTGGGATTACAGGTGTGAGCCACTACACCCTGGGGCCTTTTTTCCTTTTAGAAGAAAATAAAAAAAGAATCTAGAGGATTGGTGAAAAATAAAAAATGACAGTAGAAATCTAGGAAGGGGTTTTAATCGTTACTTAATCCAACCTTTTTTTGTTGTTGCAGAGGGGAAACTGAAACTCAAACAGGGGTATGTAACTTGCTCACGATCATGTGGCCAAGTTGTAGAATCAGGTTGCACTCTAGCCTGGGCGATAGAGGGGGACTCCATCTAAAAAAAAAAAGGAAGAAAAGAAAGAAAAAGAAATTATTAACAATGAAAATTAAAACAAATAAAAATGTTAGAGGCCAGACTCCACAACCAGCCCACTCTCACCCTCTGTGTTGTAAATGTTTGCATGAGGCTTCAGGCAACTTTCAGACTGACAAGGAAGTTTACAGCACCCAGTTCATAGTGGGAGTATCCTAATGAATGATGAATGAGAATGCATAATCTGAATCTGATCACAAGAAAACATCAAACAAGCTCAAAAGGAGCATTATTCTTAAAAAAAAAAAAAAAAAAAAAAAAAAAGATGGTGAGTGGAGAAAGAGCATTCTTCAAAAATGTCATAAAATACAAAGAAATGCTATGAAATGTTCCAGATCATAGGACACTAAAGAGACATGACAACTGAATGCAATACTTGACGCTAAACTGGATTCTGTACCGAAGGAGAAAAAATCCCTTATGACATTATAGACTCAATTAACAAAATTGGAGCCGGGCGTGGTGGCTCACACCTGTAATCTTAGCACTTTGGGAGGCTGAGGCTGGCAGATCACCTGCGCTTAGGAGTTTGAGACCAGCCCGGCCAACATGGCGAAACTCCATCTCTACTAAAAATATAAAAATTAGCCGGGTATGGTGGCAGGCACCTGTAATCCCAGCTACTCAGGAGGCTGAGGCACAAGAATTGCTTGAACCCGGGAGATTCTGTCTGGGTGGTGAAGGTTGCATGAACTGAGATCGCGCCACTGCACTCCAGCCTGGGCAACAGAGTGAGAATCTGTCTCACAAAAAAAAAAAAAAAAAAAATTGGGCTGGGCACAGTGGCTCACCTGTAATCCCAGCACGTTGGGAGGCTGAGGTAGGCAGATCACGAGGTCAGGAGATCGAGACCATCCTGGCTAACACAGTGAAACCCCGTCTCTACTAAAAATACAAAAAAATTTAGCCGGGCGTGGTGGTGGGCACCTGTAGTCCCAGCTACTCGGGAGGCTGAGGCAGGAGAATGGCATGAACCTGGGAGGCAGAGCTTGCAGCGAGCCAAGATCACGCCACTGCACTGCAGCCTGGGCTACGGAGTGAGACTCCATCTCAAAAAAAAAAAAAAAAAAAAATTGGAATACAAGTGGTAGATTAAATAAACTAATTATAGTAAGATACCAGCCAGGTGTGGTGGCTCACACCTGTAATCCCAGCATTTTGGGAGGCTGAGATGTGAGGATCACCTGAACCCAGGAGTTCGAGACCAACCCGGCTAACATAGCAATAGCTCATCTTTACAAAAAATGGAAAAAAAAATTAACCGGGTTTGTTGGTGCACACCTGTGGTTTCAGCTACTCAGAGGGCTGAGATAGGAGGATCACTTGAGTCCAGGAGATCCAAGCTGCTGTGAGCTGTGATTGTGCCACTGCACTCTAGCCTGAGTGACAGAGTGAGACCGTGTCTCAGAAAAAAAGAAAAAAAAAAAGACACTATGTTGATAACTGTACTTGGGTTGTGTACGATAATAGCCCTATTTTTAGCAAATACACACAGAAGCATATAGTGGTAAGGGGTCATGATATATATAATTTACCTTCAAATGGTTCAAAAAATTATGTACACACACATATACACGTTGCAGGGGGTGGCAAGAAATGATAAAGAACATGGAATAAAGTATTTACAATAGGTGAGTTTGAGTAAAGGGCGTATAGATATTCTTTTTTTTTTTTTTGAGACGGAGTCTCGCTCTGTCGCCCAGGCTGGAGTGCAGTGGCCGGATCTCAGCTCACTGCAAGCTCTACCTCCCGGATTTACGCCATTCTCCTGCCTCAGCCTCCCAAGTAGCTGGGACTACAGGCGCCCGCCACCTCGCCCGGCTAGTTTTTGTATTTTTTGGTAGAGACGGGGTTTCACCGTGTTAGCCAGGATGGTCTCGATCTCCTGACCTCGTGATCCGCCCGTCTTGGCCTCCCAAAGTGCTGGGATTACAGGCTTGAGCCACCACGCCCGGCCTAGATATTCTTTATCCTATTTTTATTTGTACAACTTTTCCATAAGTTTGAAATTATTGGCTGGGCATAGCGGCTCATGCCTGTAATCCCAGCACTTTGGGAGGCCAAGGCAGGAGGATCACTTGAGGTCACAAGTTCGAGACCAGCCTGGTCAACATGGTGAAACTTTGTCTCTACTAAAAATACAAAAATTAGCCAGACGTCGTGGCGCATGCCTGTAATCCCGGCTACTCAGGAGACTAAGGCACAAGCATTGCTTGAACCCAGGAGGCGGAAGCAGTGAGCCAAGATCATGCCACTGCACTCTAGCCTGGGCAACAGAGGGAGACTCCATCTCCAAAAGACAAACAAACAAACAAAAAAAACCCAGAAATTATTAACAAATGAAAATTTTAAAAAAATAAATAAAAATGTTAGAGGCTAGACTCTCCATAGCCAGCCCACTCTCACCCTCTGTATTGTAAACACTTGCATGAGGCTTCAGGCAACTTTCAGACTGACAAGGAAGTTTACAGCACCCAGCCCGTAATGGGAGTGTCCTAATGAGTGATGAAAGCTTATGGTGTGCAACAGCTCTTTCTTCTTCTTCTTTTAAATGACCTGGTCAGCAGGAAGTAGCAAGAGCTTCTTAATAGAACATTGAGGGAGCCAAGTGGGAGAGGCTCAACCAGCTTTTGAACCGGAATAATCTCCAAGAAGTCACAACCTTTTTTGTTCTGCCCTCTTTACCTGCAGGTGGATTCATCAGGGTGCTTTGGGTTGAATGTAACTAGACTGGGTCAAGACGGCCTTAAGTGACTAGAGCACTTAGTATCACCTCAGGTAACAATACACCAATAGGTGGGCTGTTTCAGGGTTGGCTGTTTCAGCGTCTCAGTTCTGGGGTATTGGATTAGCTTGTTACTGGACAGGGGTCCCAATCCAGACCCCAAGAGAGGGTTCTTCGATCTCGTGCAAGAACAAATTCAGGGCGAGTCCGCATAGTAAAGTGAAAGCAAGTTTATTAGGAAAATAAGGGAATAAAGAAAGGCTACTCCATGGACAGAGCAGTCCTGAGAATGACTGGTTGCCCATTTTTATGGTTATTTCTTGATCATATGCTAAACAAGGGGTGGATTATTCATGCCTCTCCTTTTAGACCATATAGGGTAACTTCCTGATGTTGCCATGGCATTTGTAAACTGTCAGGGCGCTGGTGGGTGTGTAGCAGTGAGGATGACCAGAGGTCGCTCTCATCGCCATCTTGGTTTTGGTGGGTTTTAGACGGCTTCTTTACTGCAAACTGTTTTATCAGAAAGATCTTTATGACGTGTATCTTGTGCTGACCTCTTGTCTCATTCTGTGACTTAGAATGCCTAATTGCCTAAGAACATAGCCCAGTAGGTCTCAGCCTTATTTCATGCAGCCCCTACTCAAGATGGAGTTGCTCTGGTTCAAATGCCTCTAAGCTTCTGAAGGATTCCTCATGGTCTCAAAATGGCTGCTGCAACTTCAAATGTCACATTCTAGCACAGCAATGTCCAAAGGCTGGAAGAATATGTTTATGAGAGAAAAGAAGTTGGGAGGTGGGAAAGTCTCTCTCTTTTAACAGAAAGGAACATCCTTCCCAGAAACCCTCAGCAGACCTCCACCAAAGCCTCAACTGCCAGGACTGCTTCCAATGCTTACTCCAAGACTGTCCACAGGATTTCCATGGCTGGCTCAGACCAATCGGAATTAATTTCCTGCTCCTGACGTGTTGCGTTTCATTCCAACAAAATTAGGTTCTGTTGGCAGGGGAGAAGGGGAGTGAAGTAATCAACAGAATCTCTTTTAGGACTTTATAGGTTGGTACAAAAGTAGTTGTGGTTTTTACCGTTTCTTTTTAAAAAATGGCAAAAACCACAATTACTTTTGTCCTAACCTACTATTTATTTATTTATTTATTTTCTGATACAGGGTCTCATTCCATCACCCAAGCTAGAGTATAGTGGCATGATCATAGCTCAGTGCTGCCTCGACCTCCCAGGCTCAATTGATCCTCCCACCTTAGCCTGCTGAGTAGCTGGGACTACAGGCACGTGCCACCACGCCTGGCTAACAGTGGTATTTTCTGTAGAGATGGGGTTTCGATACGTTGCTCAGACTGGTCACAAATTCCTGGGTTCAAGTGATCCTCCATCCTTGGCCTCCCAAAGTTCTGAGATTACAGGCATGAGCCACCACACCCTGCCATATGGCTTTGATGATTTCCTGAGTGGGCACCATGGATCTGTTTTTGTGATCTGGACCAAAAACCAACTTGGACTTCCCAGAGTGCTGAGATGCCCAGAGCACCGAAACATGAGAGGAAGATTTATGGCCTAGACTAGACTATACTGGACACCAATTTCTTTGGGAAACTTCCCCTCCCTCGCTTCCACTCCCTGCAGTTCAGGTGAGGCTGTTTCTACCCCTTGGTTCCACCAATAAGCATGTGACCAGGCCTGGACAATCAAAGCATTGCCTTCTTTGAGTGACAATGATTGGTTCAGAGACGCACCATGACTTGTGTTCGTCCAATCAGAGTGAATGCTGCAACTTCAGCAGCATTTCCAGGAAGTGACCTCCTTTCCCACCACACTCATACCTGGCAGGATGCAGGCCTGGAGCTAGTGGTTGCCAGCTTGCTATCAAGTAGAGACTAAGACTGGAGCCAACTCACTGAAGAGCAAAGCCAAGAGATGGCTAGAGACTATGTCTGGTAACCTCATTTGAGTTCCTGAATCCAGCCAGGTCTGAAGCCAGTACTTTTCAGTTACTTACTCCAGTACTTTTCAGTTACTTAAGCCAATAAATTGCTTTTTGCATATAAATCAGTTTCAAATGGGGCTTCTGTCATTTACAAATAAAAGAATGCTAGGCTGGGCACAGTGGCTCATGCCTATAATCCCAGCACTTTGAGAGACCAAGGTGGGAGGACTGTTTGAGCTCAGGAGTTTGAGACCAGCAACATAGCGGGACCCCCATCTCTATCTAAAAAAGAA